CACATGCACATACACACACGCACACACATGCACATACACACACGCACAATACATACACACACATGCACATACACACACACATGCACATACATACACACACGCACATACATACACACACACGCACATACACACACATGCACATACACACACATACACACACACATACATACACTACACGCACATACATACACACACATACATACACACACGCACACATACATACCACACGCACACATACATACACACACACGCATACATACACGCACGCACATACACGCACGCACACACACTATACACACATACACACATACACACACACACCCACATACCCACACATGCACATACACACACACACATACACACACACACACATACACACACATACACACGCATACATACACACACACACACGCACACATACACACACACATGCATACATACACACACGCACACACACACATACATACCACACACATACACACACACACGCAGATACATACACACACACGCACGCATACATATACGCACACACAACAACAACAACCGCCATTCGCCACTAAGTGGCGGTGACGTCACCACGATGCTTGTGCCAGGCCAAGTGCACCTTGAGGCCACGTGAAGTGTCGAAAGCCCGCTGGCAGGAGGTCACGGGGCAGACCCAGGTGCCACTGGTCGACTGACCGAGATGACCGAGATGACTGGCTGATGCACCACCTGTGCCCCCTACTGTGCCAACTTGCTGTGCTTTAGCCACCCGGCGCTCCGCTCGTTGTTGTGAGCGTCGCTCCTCCGCCCTCCGTTGTTGTTGGAGGGTGACTGCCTCCAACTGCCCAGTAGCGTCCTTCACGAGCCTCCTCCACTGAGGCCGATCTTGACACCGCTGGTACCAGTCATCGGCAAGTCCACTCAGCTCCACGTCCTCCTGTACCACATCACTCCATCTCTTCTCCAGCCCGTGCCGCGCCCGTCTAGCCCCCTCGATCCGGCCGAACAAAAGCTGTTTAGGCATGCGGTGGCTGGGCATGCGGGCTACATGACCCAGCCAACGCAGCCTTGCCTGCCGGAGGAGCTCACTGATGGGACTTTGCCCAGATCTTTCAAGGATTTGTGAGCTCCTCACACAATCCAGCCTGGTTAAACCCAGGATGGATCGTAGGCAGGCCAGCCTAAATGTTTCCAACCGGCGAAGATGCTCCACCAGGGGGGTCCACGTCTCGCAAGGGTAGAGAAGGGAGGGAATGACCGTGGCCGAGAAGACCTGAAGCTTCGTGCGGAGCGACAGACCAGGTAGCTTCCACACAGCGTTACGCAACCGATGAAAAGATATTGCCGCTCGACTGATTCGGAGTGAGACCTCTGCTGATAGACTGGAGCCGGTCATAAGCATACTGCCCAGGTATGGGAAACTCTCCACTCTCTCCACAACTGCCCCATCACCAATTGGGAGTTGTGGGGGTGGAGTGTCCGATGGTACAAAATACCCAGGCAGGTGCTTGGTTTTGGTGGGGCTGATGGTAAGGCCCCACCTCTTAGTGGCACGCTCCAGTCTCAGCAGCAGCGCCTCCAACTCCTCTTCTGAATGAGCAGCTATTACCAAATCATCGGCATACATAACGTGGTTGACCAATAGGGAGCCATCCCTTGATCGCACCCGGGCGTCGATCAGCCTCCCATTATATCTGTACCAAACGGAAATTCCCCCGGTACAGCTATTGAAGGCTTCACGAACTACGCGGTCAAAATAGATGTTAAATAATGTGGGAGCCAGAGGACATCCCTGTCGCACCCCAAGGTGTACAGGGAAAGGCTCCGACTCCCGGCCACGTAGTTTTACCCGGGCCCGCTCACCATCATGAAGGTCCTTAATGATCGTGAGCAGAGGGTCAGGGACTCCGAAAGCACGAAGAACAACCCAGAGTCCAGTCCTACTGATGGTATCATAGGCCTTGACCAGGTCAATAAAGCAGAGATGTAGGTCTTTTTGGAATTCCCTACACCTCTGCTGTAGCAGACGGACAGAAAATATGGCATCTGTGCAGGACCGCCCTTTCCTGAAACCGCATTGGGGCTCCGCAAGCCCCTCCTCAGCGTGCCTAGCAAGGCGATGTTGAATAATCCTTGCCAGGACCTTACCCGGCACACTGAGGAGTGAGATGCCCCTGTAGTTGTTACAGTCTGTGCGGTCCCCCTTCTTAAAGAGGGGGACCACCAGGGCATCCTTCCAGTCCTGCGGAACCCGTCCAGTGGTCCAGACTGTTGTTATGATGTCATATAGGGCAGTCTGTGCACAAACGCCACCCTCCCTCAGCATTTCGCTTGGGAGATCATCTCTGCCCGGTGCCTTCCCTGGTCTCAGACTCCGGATCGCCCTCAGTACTTCCTCAACAGCTGGAACCTCAGCCAGCCACTCACAGGGGGTGACCTCTTCCAATATTTGAGGCACCGCAGCCTCAGCAGGGTTATCCCCACTTTGTGCCATGATGTTTTCCTGGCTGAGAGAATTTCCCTCCCCCAGGACCTCACAGAAATGCTCAGAAAATCTGCAAACCTGTTCCTGGGGGTCGGAGATTGGATCACCGTTTTTTCCTCTAATGATGGTAATAGGTGTGGCGCTGCAGGTTACTTTTTTGATGGAGTTAAATAGTGATTTGTGATCACGGGCCACTGAGGCAGACTCCATCTCCTCAGCAACCCGCGACCACCACCCATCCTTACAACGCCTTACGGCTCTCCGAACTTCCGAGCGAAGGCTGCGGTAAACCTCCTCATTCTCTGACGTGGGATGCTGTAGGCGATGAGAGTGGGCCTGTCGCTTTTTCTCAATTAACCTGAACACCTCCTCTGTCAGCCAGGGTTTCTGGGGAGGTCTGGACCGCGTACCCAAAGCAGCCATTGCAGCTGCATGAGTCACAGTCTTAAACCTCGCCCATTTACCCTCGACATCAGGTGGAGTGGGGGACACACACACGCAGACACACACGCACATACATACACACACACACGCACGCATACATACATGCACACACACACACGCAGGTATACACACACACGCAGATACACACACACACATATCACCATCATCATCACCATCATTACCATCATCATCACCATCATCATCACCAGTACAGCTATTGAAGGCTTCACAAACTACACGGCCGAAATAGATGTTAAATAATGCGGGAGCCAGAGGACATCCCTGTCCACACCCCGGCCATGTAGTTTTACCCGGGCCCGCTCACCATCATGAAGGTCCTTAATGATCGTGAGCAGAGGGTCAGGGACTCCGAAAGCACGAAGAACAACTCAGAGCCCAGGCCTACTGATGGTATCATAGGCCTTGACCAGGTCAAGGCCTATGATACACCTCTGCTGTAGTCTCTGAGGAGGTCTGGACCGTGTACCCAAAGCAGCCATTGCAGCTGCATGAGCCACAGTCCTAAACCTCGCCCATTTACCCTCGACATGAGGAGTGGGGGACGATGCCAACCCCAGCCACAAGCGATGATGAAATTCTCGCTTGCAACTTTCATCAGCTGAGACCAGGCCACCTTAGGTTGGAATGGGGTCCTGGGTGTACACCCACCACCGGAGTGGAAGAATGGCAGGCGCATCTTACTGATGACTAGTCGATGGTCAGAGGGCAGATCAGCTCCACGGTAGGTCCTGGTGTCAAGGACATGGGCCCGTATCCGCTGGTCCGTCACTATGTAGTCCAGCAGATGTTCTTGCTTGTGTAGTGACTGTGATTGTCACTGTGTGGTGCCGGGCTTACGAAGCTACGGCGGATAATGTGTTGGCATTACGTGCAGCCCGCTCACTGGGCGTAGTACCACCAGCCCTAGCGGGGATGGGTGAGCACTGGTCAGCGCGGAGACACCACGTACGGCGTGCGGTGCGGGCTCCCGGCGAGGGAGCGAGAGGGAGCGTCAGCCAGCCAGGGTTACGTTAGGGCACGATACGCCGGTTGACCTGCCGACACGTGACCGGATGATATTGGAGGGGGCCACCGGTGGACGGGGGGCCGCTGGGCGGTCACGTGGTCTACAAGAGCCTTCGGGGAGCCTTCGGGAAAGAGCCGGAAAGATCTAGAAGGTGGGCGGGGCGAGGGGTTGTAGATCTGAAGTTTTCGCGACTGCGATGATTCATACTCTTTGGTGTTTTCGGTAAAGTCACGTAGGTGAAAAATAAAATTAAATTAAAACTAAATTAAATCACGACGTTTCGGACGCCACGCAAGTGTCTGTCAACGGGCGGGAAAGCGTGGCCTGCTGCTGATGCAGACCAAAGAGTGAGGGGCTCGGGGTTCTTCGTGTTGCTGGCGATGAAGATCCGCATCGGGTTGAAGAAGCCTCTAGTCACGCGGTCAACACCCAAGTGTAGCTTGTGTTGTGTCGCTGAAGAGTGTTGCTCCCAAGACAACGTCTGCGACCGAGTTGGACTCGACACACTTGGACCCGCCGCCGGGTTCATAGAGCAGCGTAGCGCTAACCGCTACACCACCGCTACCCATCGCGCTGTGGGGGTCACCTTGGTCTCGATGTTGCGTCCTCTCAGTGCCGAGCGGACGAAGCGCAGCACGCAGTCCACCAGCCCCTCGCCCTTCCACGTGCTCAGCCGTCCGTCCGGATCTGCCGAGCTCAACTCCCTGCAATGTCACCGCCGTGACGTGAACCCCCGACGTTCCCTGTCGCGTCCACCGCGTGACGTCGCGTCAACCGCGGCGTTCCCCGTCACGTCCACCACGAAATCACCGCCCCTTACCGTAGGCACGTCAAGGCGTTGCAGAACGCCGCGGAAGGCGAGGCGGACGAGCCGGGTGGGGAGGGTGAGGCGGGCGAGTCTCCAAAGTTGCTCCTCCAGCCGCTCTCTGGCACCAGCACGTGCTCCACCAGCGCCGGGAGGCAAAGCTCCACCAGCGCAGCCCTCAGAAACTCGTGGCGCGACAGGTTCCACAGCGTGCCTGGGGTAGGGGTGGTGAGCGTGGGTGGTGAGCGTGGGTGGTGAGTGTGGGTGGTGAGTGTGGGTGGCGAGGGTGGGTGGCGAGTGTGGGTGGTGAGTGTGGGTGGTGAGTGTGGATGGTGAGCGTGGGTGGTGAGCGTGGGTGGCGAGCGTGGGTGGCGAGCGTGGGTGGCGAGGGTGGGTGGCGAGCGTGGGTGGCGAGCGTGGGTGGTGAGCGTGGGTGGTGAGCGTGGGTGGTGAGCGTGGGTGGTGAGCGTGGGTGGTGAGCGTGGGTGGTGAGCGTGGGTGGTGAGCGTGGGTGGTGAGCGTGGGTGGTGAGCGTGGGTGGTGAGCGTGAGTGGTGAGCGTGGGTGGTGAGCGTGGGTGGTGAGCGTGGGTGGTGAGCGTGGGTGGTGAGCGTGGGTGGTGAGCGTGGGTGGTGAGCGTGGGTGGTGAGCGTGGGTGGTGAGCGTGGGTGGTGAGCGTGGGTGGTGAGTGTGGGTGGTGAGTGTGGGTGGTGAGTGTGGGTGGTGAGGGTGGGTGGTGGTGAGTGTGGGTGGTGAGTGTGGGTGGTGAGTGTGGGTGGTGGTGAGTGTGGGTGGTGAGTGTGGGTGGTGAGTGTGGGTGGGTTGCTACCGGTGATCTTCTCCAGGGTGTGAGGGTTGTGAGTGCGTCCCAGCAGGCTGGCTAAGGCCGCGAGGCTTCCATTGTTGCTAAATGCCAATGCGCCAGCATGGCTGGAGCTGAGGACTTGCAACATCTCGCATGCAGACGCAAGCACCTGTAGGGGCACGGGGAGGTGAGGAGATGCACAAACAACCGCCATTCGCCAGACCATGTGCACCTTGAGGCCACGTGAAGTGTCAAACGCCCACTGGCAGGAGGTCAAGGGGCAAACCCAGGTGCCACGGGTCAACTGAGATGACCGAGATGACTGGGTAATGCACCACCTGTGCCCCCTACTGTGCCAACTTGCCGTGCTTTAGCCACCCGGCGCTCCGCTCGTTGTTGTGAGCGTCGCTCCTCCGCCCTCCGTTGTTGTTGGAGGGCGACTGCCTCACAGACAAAAATCCCCCGTGTAGCCTTAACAGACTGTAGGAGCAAGTGCTGTGAGCGAGTAGCACCTGTAAAGGCCGGCACGGCACACGAGGGGGTCGGTGGCCAACACCATGCCCTTTGTCGCCCTAGCAGCGATGTTTACACATTTGAGGCTGAGTCGACCTACACACACACACAGACACATATCCTTGTCCCCCCGTGCGCCCCACCCGTGGTCTCACATGGTCGTCCTCCTCACACTCAACGAGCAGCGTGAATATTGAGCGCAGCTTCCCAGCCGCCCACACCACCGCCACCGCCAACTTGTCAGGTTGCTGGCAATCACCGCCACCAACAGCAACACCACAACCACCACCGCCACCACCGCCAACAACACCACCACCGCCAACACCACCGCCAACACCAGCACCGCCACCACCGCCACCACCGCCAACAACACCACCACCGCCAACAACACCACCACCACCGCCACCACCGCCAACACCACAACCACCACCGCCAACACCACCACCGCCAACACCGCCACCGCCAACACCGCCACCACCGCCACCACCACCACCACCACCATCGCCACCACCAACGCCACCACCACCACCGCCAACACCACCGCCAACACCACCAACGCCACCACCAACACCGCCACCTCCCCCACCCTCCCCCACCGAGAAGCCTCCTCTCTCTCTCTGCCGCCCCCCTCCGGCGGTGTTGGCAGTGGCGGCGGTGGCGGTGCTGGTGGTGAAGAAGCAGCCTCTGAGAGCGCCCACGAAGCCGGACCACCAGCGGCGCAGCAGGGAGCCAAGCGGTGGTGCGGCGGCAGCAGGGGCAGCAGCAGCAGCAGGGGCAGCAGCAGCAGCAGCAGGGGCAGGGCGTGGAGCGTCAGACAGGAGGGCCGCGGTGGCCATGGTGGTGACAAAGTCCTTCGGCCTGGGAGGAGGGGAGTGGGGGAGAGGTGAGCGTGTGTGTGTGTGTGTAGACATTACACACAGACACACACATTACAACAACAGCAACCGCCATTCGCCACTAAGTGGCGGTGACGTCACCACGACGCTTGTGCCAGGCCACGTGCACCTTGAGGCCACGTGAAGTGTCGAACGCCCGCTGGCAGGAGGTCACGGGGCAGACCCAGCAGGTGCCATGGGTCGACTGACTGAGATGACCGAGATGACTGGCTGATGCACCACCTGTGCCCCCTACTGTGACAACTTGCTGTGCTTTAGCCACCCGGCGCTCCGCTCGTTGTTGTGAGCGTCGCTCCTCCGCCCTCCGTTGTTGTTGGAGGGCGACTGCCTCCAACTGCCCAGTAGCGTCCTTCACGAGCCTCCTCCACTGAGGCCGATCTTGACACCGCTGGTACCAGTCATCGGCAAGTCCAATCAGCTCCACGTCCTCCTGTACCACATCACTCCATCTCTTCTCCAGCCCGTGCCGCGCCCGTCTAGCCCCCTCGATCCGGCCGAACAAAATCTGTTAAGGCATGCGGTGGCTGGGCATGCGGGCTACATGACCCAGCCAACGCAGCCTTGCCTGCCGGAGGAGCTCACCAAAGGGACTTTGCCCAGATCTTTCAAGGATTTGTGAGCTCCTCACACAATGCAGCCTCGTTAAACCCAACAACCACCACAACAACCACCACCACACAAATAACAACCACCACAACAACAACCACCACCACACAAACAACAACCACCACAACAACCACAACAACCACCACCACACAAACAACCATCACCACAACAACCACCACCACACAAACAACAACAACAACCACCACAACAACAACCATCACCACAACAACAACCTCCAACCTGGGTGCCGCCATCTTGAACTTGGCAATGGTCTCCGGATTATGACGTCACCGGGAATCGTTTGTTCGATTCTCATCGATTCTAATCGTTGGTTTGCGCGTCTCTCTCTGCTAATCGATTCCCATCGATTATAATAATCGTTTTGCGTGTCTCCCTCTCTTTGATGATCGATTATCATCGATTACATTATCCGTTCCGTTGGCTCCGTGTGGCTATGAGATGTTGACCACCTCGCCTGGTCTACAGGAGGTCGTGGGTTCGATCCCGACCCTGACCACAACAACCACCACCACAACCACCACTATAACCACCACTACCACCACCACTACCACCACCACAACAACCACCACCACAACAACCACCACTACAACCACCACAACCACCACCACAACCACCACCACCACACAGTGTGCTAATCACTGCACCACCACTCCCCACACACACACGGTGCGCTAACCACTGCACCACCACTCCCCACTCACACCACGCGACCTCCGAGCTGAAGTCACGTGCAGAGAAAATCGATTCAAGGTCAAATTATAAACTCGGATCGATTCCTATTGAGATAACATTGTAGTCGTTGGGTCTCTGGTGCACGCCGCCGATACGCGCGTCTCATTGGTCCTCCTCCGCGGGGGCCACGCCCCCTCGAGAATTTTCCGCTCTTCCGATTGGTCCGCCGTTGCTGGGGGCGGGGGCTCAAAGCGCGTCCGGTGTGAGGTGACGTCACGACACAACAAACCCCCCCCCACCCCTCCATTGCCACGTAAGCCAATCGGCGAACTCCTCACTGGGTGATGACGTCACGCACGCGCATCCTGTAGCCAATGAGCGCGTCCGCCTAGGGACAGATGACGTCATGTGACTCGAGAGCAAGAGGGGGAGGGGCTAAACAAGTCACGGCAGTGAGTGGTGAGGGTGAGTGGTGAGGGTTAGTGGTGGTTGTGAGTGGTTAGTGTCGAGGGTGAGTGGTGAGGGTGATTCGTGAGAGAGTGGTTAGTGGTGAGGCTGAGTGGTTAGTGGTGAGCGTGATTGGTGAGGGTGAGTGCTGCTACTGCTGCTGCTACAGCTGCTGCTGCGTTGCCTGCCGACAGCAGCAGCTGTTGTGAGCATTGCGAGCCCGACTGCCGTGACGTTGCGAGAAAAGTATCTGCAGGTGAGTGGGTGGTCCCCCCCTACCTCCCTCCACCACCAGCACCACTCTTCTTTTAAAGGAATAAGTGCGTCCGTACACGCCTGCGACGATTGGAGTGGTGAGGGTGAGTGGTTAGGGTGAGGGGTGAGCGGTTGTTGTGAGGGTAGGTGGTGAGGGTGAGTGGTGAGGGTGAGTGGTGAGGGTGAGTGGTGATTAGTGAGTGGTGAGGGTGAGTGGTGAGGGTGAGTGGTGAGGGTGAGTGGTGAGTGGTGAGGGTGAGTGGTGAGGGTGAGTGGTGAGAGTGAGGGGTGAGGGTGAGTGGTGAGGGTGAGTAGTGAGGGGTGAGTGGTGAGGGTGAGTGGTGAGGGTGAGTGGTGAGGGGTGAGTGGTGAGGGTGAGGGTGAGTGGTGAGGGTGAGTGGTGAGGGGTGAGTGGTGAGGGTGAGTGGTGAGGGTGATTGGTGAGGGTGAGAGAGTGGTGAGGGTGAGGGTGAGTGGTGAGGGTGAGTGGTGAGGGTGAGTGGTGAGGGTGAGTGGTGAGGGTGAGTGGTGAGGGTGAGTAGTGAGAGAGTGGTTAGTGGTGAGGCTGAGTGGTTAGTGTCGAGGGTGAGTGGTGAGGGTGAGTGGTGAGGGTGAGTGGTGAGGGTGATTGGTGAGGGTGAGAGAGTGGTGAGGGTGAGGGTGAGTGGTGAGGGTGAGTGGTGAGGGTGAGTGGTGAGAGTGAGGGGTGAGGGTGGGTGGTGAGGGTGAGTGGTGGGTGGTGAGTGGTGAGGGTGAGTGGTGGTTGTGAGTGGTGATTAGTGGTGGGAGAGTGGTGAGTGGTGAGGGTGAGTGGTGAGGGTGAGTGGTGAGGGTGAGTGGTGAGTGGTGAGGGTGAGTGGTGAGGGTGAGTGGTGAGGGTGAGTGGTGAGGGTGAGTGGTGAGGGTGAGTGGTGAGGGTGAGTAGTGAGAGAGTGGTTAGTGGTGAGGCTGAGTGGTTAGTGTCGAGGGTGAGTGGTGAGGGTGAGTGGTGAGGGTGAGTAGTGAGAGAGTGGTTAGTGGTGAGGCTGAGTGGTTAGTGTCGAGGGTGAGTGGTGAGGGTGAGTGGTGAGGGTGATTGGTGAGAGAGTGGTTAGTGGTGAGGCTGAGTGGTTAGTGGTGAGGGTGAGTGGTGAGGGTGAGTGGTGAGGGTGAGTGGTGAGGGTGAGTGGTGAGAGAGTGGTTAGTGGTGAGGCTGAGTGGTTAGTGGTGAGGGTGAGTGGTGAGGGTGAGTGGTGAGGGTGAGTGGTGAGGGTGATTGGTGAGGGTGAGAGAGTGGTGAGGGTGAGGGTGAGTGGTGAGGGTGAGTGGTGAGGGTGATTGGTGAGGGTGAGAGAGTGGTGAGGGTGAGGGTGAGTGGTGAGGGTGAGTGGTGAGGGTGATTGGTGAGGGTGAGTGAGTGGTGAGGGTGAGTTGTGAGTAAGTTCCAAGATTAGTAAACAAAAAATCTCGACAAATAAAAGTTCATGTGCAGTAATAGAATAATAATAATGATGATATTTAATTATCGCTCGTTGAAATAATCCCGCCAAATTGAGTCGTTGATGAGGTCAGCTGTTAATTAGTAGCGGGCCAATTAAGACGTCGTTAATTAGGCCAGCTGTTAATTAGCCTGAGGCGTTGACCTGAGGCCAATTAATTAAGCAACGTGCTCATTCAATTACAAATTGCGTGTGTGACGTGAGTTGACTTCGGGTTTTATTTGAATTTTTTAAAAAATGCAATTGTGTTTAATTTAAGGACAGCACATACATGATCAGAGTTGTGTTTTTGTTTGCATTACGACTGCAGGTATTGTGGTCAATGCAAACATGACTCCTTGTAAAAAAGGTGTCAGTTTTGTTGCCAGATAGAAGGGTAAAAAACAATTATCAAGACAATCCTAGATTGAATAGGAATGTTAAAGACCTCTTAATATCTCGATTTAAAGCTTTCGTGACTGCAGGGATTCATCTTCTTGGTTCTTTCGGTAAAGTCATCACGTAGAAGGGAAGTAATAAAATAAAACATAATAAAATAATATAATATTGTTTTATTTTTATTATTTTATTATTTCCCTTCTACGTGACTTTACTGAAAGAACCAAGAAGATGAGCCTCTTAGTATCGTTGGAGATTGTCATTTATTTAGCTAAGAGTGAGTGGCAAGCTCGACTGGCCACGATGATTCATAGATGTTTGCCTTTTGCTCATTTAACTCTGAGTAACGTCATCTGTGATTGCTTTTTAAATCCTTTATATTAAGTTCACTTGCTTGCTTGCTTACGACCGTGCAAATCTTTCGGTCGTTTTTTAACCCACTTCCCGTGATCCAATCGAGCTGACATTTTGCACACAGACTCGTTGTGCGTGACAATTAATTTTCGTGAAATTTTTTTCTCAAAATTTT